TGGATTACGCTAGTTTCATATATGGAGCGACCAGAAAGTCGTACATAAAAATTCTCAATGTAACCTATCGTTTAAGCACTCGGGGTTTTCAGACTGTTACTAGGGACATTCGGAACATCCCTAGTGTAAAACTTATACACAGAAGCTAATGAAACATCTTCATATTTACGGTACACTAAACTGGCACTACAGAGTAATACGTAAAATAAAATCATGCACAAATAAGTCAGCTTACAGTTGTAGCTTTGAACCGAATTTCTGTGATCTATTCACACAATGCTAGACAAACCTACGGACTCAGGATGGAATCCATTGCTGAAGTGTTACGCACTTCACTCTCAAATATACAAGAAACAACTGCAGCCGATATTCCACCATGGACTACCAAGCAACCAGACGTACTGATAGAGTTAGATAATCTCCCAAAACAGAAAACGGACCCCGTCACATACCAGGATAATTTTCAAGACATATTGGCAATTCTTCCCTAACCGTACACTCATCTATGCTGACGGGTGAAAATGTGAGGACAAGATAGGAAGTGCAGAAAATATTACCAAAAAAAAAGGCGCCTCTCAAAAGGAAGTTCTATTTTCCATATAGGGTTTTATACGATCGAACTAGTTCTTAATATTATTTCAGCGAGCAAACAAAAAAATTTTCCTAACTTTTTAGGATTCACTATCCGTGCTACTGGCTTTGAAGGAAAAAATCTAACACTCCACATATGAAAATATAATGCAAAATGGGCGCTATATAGTACTACACGCACTTAAAAGAATCCAATAGAACACCTATAGTAAAACAAAATTAATATGAAATGCCAGATGTAAGCTTTTGAATGACCCATGTCCTTTGTACTTACATGAGAAACAATATATTACTAGGTTTATATATATAAAAAATAAAAGTTTATAAAATCAGTGAAATTAAGTAACTATTTTTGACGTCATTGTCATAAATTTTACTTAAATAATATAAAAAAAAATAAAATAAAAAAAAATAAAATAAAATAAAAAATGTAACCTAATATACATATTTATACTTGAGGTAAAATAATCCTACATACTATAAGGGATCCTAATACATTTAACTGTTCTTAAAAAAAAAAATATAGTATAATAAAAATTAAAAAATGAGAATATTTCAAATCGTAGTTAAATAAAAAGTATTCTAATCTGAACACCCCTAAAAATCTTTAAATTTACAAATAGAAAAAAAATGCCGTAAGAATTTTTTTTTTAACAATAAATTTTTAAAAAAAATCCAGACGACATGCATTCAACGGATGTCAGTTTTCATTGAAAAATACATCCATACCCCTTACCAAAATGTAGCTAATAGCCGATACAATGATACAGACATAAGGAAAACCCAGACACTTGTCCAGTTGAAGTAGAATATTCTGTAACCATGGAAACGTGATTTTAGCTGTGTCTTTAAAACCCAGTAATTTTAAAAGTTACACCAAAATTCGCTTGAGGATGAAATGGAACTAATGTCTTTAATTTAATTGCAAAATTAAATTCGTGGCTTTTAGCTTCCATTTTTGAAACATGGTTAGAACTGTGTAGCGGAAAAAAACATATTTTAAATCAATTAGTTTATAATATATATTTATATATATATATATATATATATATTTATAATATATTTGTATGATGTTCGCTTGACAACCTAACTGTATATTTTCAATTCTCATTAGTGGATATATACTGCTATATAGTCCCAAATATATATACGAAACGTATGTGTTTCTGCATTCTGTACGGGTTTCTATCAGACTCGATGAATTAATTATATATATATAATTTATAATATATATATATATATATATATATACAAGAATTAAAATGGCTTGTAAACTTTAATGCCCCCAGAACAGAAACTGCTCTAATTTACATACCACAGAAAACCCTCCTTTAATTATCAGAATAACTGATGCTTAAATCAAGAGACCAAATCGCTGGGCCTGAAAACTTTTTCATCTAGTAAAATACCTGAAGTGGAACAAATACATTGAATCAATACCGTCGTCTACTGCGAGGAAAGTTGGTTCTCTGTGTCGTGCCAGAAAGTTTTCCTCACCACGTGTCCATCCTTCAAATGTATAAATCAACCATTCGTCCTTGCATGGAATACTGCTGTCATTTAACGGTCAGGTTATTAAAAGTATTTATATCATTTTTTCCCCTCTGATTCAAAATCCAGAAACGAATATGCAAGATGATAGGTCCTGATCCGTCATATCGTCTACAGTCACTTTCTCACAGAGGTGTCGTCGCTTCCCTCTGTCTTTTCTACAAATACTTTCACGGCAACTGCTCCAACGAGCTACTTTCGTTGGTTCCCAAACTGCAGGAATTTAAGCATGCTACTAGGTTGGCAATTTCTTCTCTCGCATTTCCCGTCTGCGGAACTCACGTCCTCTTACTTGCTTCCCTGATAACTATAATCTTCAAATATTCAAGTGTAATGTTTATCGACATCTTCTGATACCTTTGATCTTGTTTCCCCAACTTCTATTTAAAACCTTTTAAAAGTACGAAACAGTACCCTGTTTCTATTATTGTAGCCCCTTAAAATGTTCAGAAAAATTTACATGATTGGGACGAAATGCATTTTTGAATATGCAAATATATATATATATATATATATATATATATATATATATATATATATATATATATATATATATATATATATATATATATATATATATATATATATATATATATATATATATATATATATTTATGTGGGTGAACGCGTTTATATTAAAAATTTGACAGAGATAAATGACAAGATTTCTCTTGAGGAATTTCAGAGTTTCGTAAGATCCTGCATTTGATTATGCTTCAAACCTTTTTTTTATTTTGAAACAAAACTTCGACAAAAAACTAAAAACAATTACAAGAAAAACAAATAAGAAAAGCTGAAGGCCTCCCTATAATGAATAAAAAAAAAACGACTGATAAAGAATTATTGAACTCATAACGGAAAAGAAAACTTGTCTTGACACCTTGTGCGTATATGTGTGTACTGTATTAAAAAAAATACAAGTACATGGTTTCATGAGAAACGAAGAAAATGCACTGATCCAACACAAAAAGACCGCTCACTGAAACAACATTAGGTCCGATGTTATCAACTGAAAGACAACGAGATTGACAATGCGAAAGTTGGATTTCATAGTTTCTTGGGTAAGAGTGAATAATGTACAATATTAGATGATATGTAGGAGTGACAGTGATACGGTAAGCGTGAACGTTTTGAATTTTTCCTTCTTATGCACCTTCACGTCTTTTGCGATCATGGCGATCCACAATTTCCAATCTTATACTTTTTTAGTATTTAGCAATATGTATCTTCTTTACTACCCTCGTTGCTCCCTGTTTTGCCATCTAGGTACACAAGGTCGTTAGGTAGGCGACCTACTGTTTTCCTCTTCATTTCCGTATTTTCTGTGAGTGTCAATTTGTCTAAACATTTTTACCTATGTGTTCAAATAATCCGAACGGTCTTTTTTTTTAATTTTCATTTATTTTTTAGTATCTGTTTTCATTATTACATCCTTTTAATTACACAAATGGCCATTTGTTATCACCACCCTTTTTTAATTTCCATGAATGTTTTTCTCATGCATTCTCTTCCTCTGTGAAGTGACTGTCAAGAATTTATTGATGTATACGATGATTGGTATTACATCGAATTTTATTACTTTCAATTTGTTTCTCACGAAATACCTTTTTGAAATTCAGATTTATTCCAATGCGAATTTTTTCATCTCTGTATACGATGTGGTGAAATCCGGTGGAGTATCATAGCATTTCGGCTGGAAATTTTTTCGAAGCGCCGAGTTCGAATTCTAGTCGTTTCCATCGCATTCACTTACGTACTAATATCTTTGGGAAACGTATGTCTCCTCTTTTTCTCCCCCCAACTATGGGTAAAATAAAGACAGAATTTTTTGGATGGCAACAAAAAAAATATGGCAATCTACTTGAATCCATTATCTTTCAGTCATATATATCGAATGATACATGATCATTAAATTGTATCACGCATTATTTTATAAAATGGTTGAGTTTTGAACTTTAGAATTTGATTATTTGACCCAGAATTTCTCAAATTCAACGAATTTTTTTATTATCGATAATTTGGTGGAAAACCATCCCCCATGCAGCATACTTTGGGAATGCCTGAAAAACATAACATAGGTTGAGCAAAGCCGTGTACGTGAGAATGGGTAACTGGATCTGTGTAGAAAGCATCAGTAGTTGTGCTGGGACGAAATCACAAGTCATCGTGACAGAGGTTTTAAATGAACTGAACTTCTTTGAAACGCTTATCACACCACATTGTTTTTCTCAACTATCTCAGCATATTTTCCGTATAAACCACAGGTTGGCTCAGCGGATGTCGAAGAAACAAAAATAAGAAAGTAAATTTATGAACAGGGAATATAAGAAATTATTTAATACAAGATGGGGATTAACTAGGATATACGAACAAAGTATGCTACATTTGGTAGAGCCTTCAGTGATATGCTGTATATGCCAATTGGAAAAAATAGTTGCACAATTAAGAAAAATATCTATGATGCGAATCGAATAGGATTTATATAAAAGTTTTTTTAAAATATACCCAGAATATGAATGGCAGAAAACCCCTTAAGACTTATCCAAATCGAAGGAATGTTCAAGTAGCCAGCAGAATGAAGACTTGACTAATTCAATTCCCTTTTCTGTCCATTTCTTTGGAAGTTTGAATTGCTAGATATAACATAGTCAAATAGTATAAAATCTTTGACAATTTGTTAAAAATATGTCCATATATTGGCATATATTTATGGATGCAAAATTATTAGGTTACCAGACGCATTCGGTGAAATTTTTTCATTTTGCTTTGTCTATATATGTCTGTCTGTGTGTCTGTCTCTTATATCTATTTGTTTTTTATATATGTATATATTCTTATCTATATGGTTGGTTCTCTCTATGTCTATGTGTTTGCCTTTCTCTCTCTCGGTTAATGACTCTCTCTATCGGTGTTTACATCTCCAACAAACTCTTTTGATACTATAAAATTCATTTCAAAAGATCTCTCTGGAAAATTCGGTCTATAACTCTCTCTATCGGTGTTTACTTCTCTGTCTCTCTCTTTGATACTATCTGTTCATTTCTCTCTCTCTCTCTTTTAATTGAATCTTTCTATCAAATCTTTAAATCTCTGTATATCTCTTTGATATATATATTCATTTTTCTCTCTCTCTCTTTTGGGCAATCGGTCTATAACTCTCTCTATCAGTGTTTACTTCTCAGAATTCTCTTTGATTCTTTTAAACTATTCATTTATCTCTCTCTCTTTCTCTGCATCATCATCTTCTCTCTCTCTCTCTCTCTATTCTCTCTTTATCTGTATTTAAACTCTGTCTCTCTCTTTGATATTGTTTATGTTTGATTTCTCTCTCTTCTTTCAGTAAAGATTTTTTTTTCTTGTTTTTAAAATCTATAACATTATTCAATCTCTCTCTCTCTCTCTCTCAGTTCATAAACTCTCTAATAATCAGTGTTTTTATTCTGTCTCTCTCTTTGATACTATTTATTTTTTTCTCTCTCTCTCTCTCTCTCTCTCTCTCTCTCTCTCTATCTATCAATATTTCTTTATCTATCCATTCAATGTTTTTTCTTTTTCTCTCTCTTTCTTCATTTGTGTTTCTTGTTTTTTTTGTTTATATTAATTTCACTTTCTATCTGTTCATCTTCTTCATTTTTCTAAATTGTATCTACGTTTTAATCTCTCTTTTATATAAAGAATAAAATAAACTAAGAGTTGTCTTCTTTCTCTCTCTCTTTTCCATCTTAATATATTTATATTAACCTTTAAATTCCTTCTATCTTTATTAGCCTCTCTTTCTCTCAAAATAATCTACTCTTCTTTTTCTTTCTCTGTATATATGGCTGTCTCTCTATATTTCTGTTTCTCACTATTTATTATTATCTCTTTATCTTTGTCTGTTTCTGTCTATGTTTGTTTGCGTCTATCTCTCTATCTCTGTAAAGTTCATCTTTTTCCAATTTGTATATTTTTATAATCTTTCTATCTCTGAACAAAATCATATCTATCTATCTATCTCTATCTATCTATTTATCTATTCATCTATCTATCTATCTATCTATCATGTTCTATGTTCTATTATCTATCTTTCTGTTCGTTTATATATCCATTTTCTCTATCTATTTTTTCTTTCTCTCTCTTTTTATTTATTTAGATTCTCTCTTTATTTTTGCCATTTTCTATCAGTTTATCTATCTATTATCATTTACTTTATATTTATCTGTCTATCTATCTATCCTTATCTCTCTCTTTCTATCTCTCTCTCTATTTACCCATCAGGTGACATAAGATATCTTTATATAAACCACGTTCGCAATAAGATTTTCCTCGTATCTTGGACGCCAAATTATCTTTCTATCTTTCTAGGTCATTCAAGAAAAACAAAGATATCGCTTTTTAATCTTCAATTCTTTCTAATTGATTAATTTTACTTTTTATCTATATTAGAATCTTTTATTTTTTTATCAGCAATTGGTTAAAACATATATTCTGATATATTTTCTCAAAAATTATTGATTTTTTTTTGAAAGACATTTTAATCTAGAGCTAATTAGTGTGCATGTTTGGAAATATGAGGAATTTTTAAATTAATGTTAAGTCACAATCCATAATGGATCCTGGCTCTCCAACCATTACATTTTTTTATTCCAAATTTAAATAACAAATTTTTATGATTCCTACATACAATATATCATTTTAATTAAGTTTTATCTCATCAACTATTAGCAAACATAGAAAGATAAACAAAATGTTTTGGTATTTATCCCATAATTCCAAAAATCTAAATGTCCTTAATCAAAATAAATTATTTCATTTTTCTCCAACGGTATCATATATAAAAGACGGTTTTTAACTCAATTTTCATTTTTCTTGTCTGTTTTTAGTTAACCTCATGGGAATGTAACACAGATATAAGAATCTATTGCATAATTTTAAATAATTATTATTTATTTTTTTTTTTGAGGAATATTTATTTATTTTATAAATTTTGAATTTTCTTTAATGTTGTGATTGTTTTTTAAATATCTTTTCAACTTATTCTATATTTTGTTCTTCTATGGTCCACGATGAAACACACATTTATAGTATATGGTTAAATATCCAAAGTTTTGGCAAATATTTGACATCATATCGAACGAATATTTCATTTTGTGTATAAACCTTTAAATATTTTATAGTAAAATTTCAACAATACATTTTCATATTGGAAAAATTTTTATAAGCAATACATTTTTGTAAAACTTATTTTTAATCCTCCCAAAAAAATTAAATTTTTATGAATTAAATCCTTTATAGATAAAATCAATTAAAAAATTTCAAAAATCTTCTAAGGTTCCATCCAATCTTTCTTTATAAATTTTATATTTCATTTCATAAATAATATCCTTTTCATTTTTGTATTTCTTATTTTGAGAAATTTTCATCTATTTTTAAATCTATAACCAATATCTTTATATGAACAATGCTTTACATAGAAAAATTCCTTTGAAACAATAACAAACGAAAATCTCTAAAAACCGTATTTTAAAAATTTAAAAAACATGGAAGATAGCTACTGTTTTTTGTGCGGTGCAATCGTCAGGATCTTATTTATTTAGAGATCTTTTTTAAAAATTGAAAAAAAATATACATTTATTTATTTATATATCCAGAAATGTTCTCTCTAATTGAAATAAATGTTCTAATCATCAGAAAAGAAAAATCAAATAGGAAAAAAATCATTCTATATTTCATCAGATAATTCTTATACTAAAAAATAACAATATATTAAAAAAGTTCAATTCATTTTCTTATATGGAATTGATTATATATTTCATTTTTATCTATAAAGTATTTTCACCATCAAAGATGATATTTTATATAATTTACATAGATTTGCTTATCTATTGTTTAAATACAAAAAATTTATAACTCTATCACCTTTCAAAATAGCCGAAATCTTGGATCCAGGAACAGGTTAATTTTTAAAAAAATGGGAACAAATGATGAACAAAAAATGAATAAAATTTTTTCGAAATTAAAAACAACTTTGATAATAAAAAATGAAAAGTTTTTAATCAAATATTTTAACATTCATTGTCCATTTTTAACAATATATTTAAAATAATGTTCTATTATTTTAATATATATATATATAAATTGAACTTTGTTTATATATATAATATATATTTTTATATATATATATATATATAAATATATTATTTAAATATTTAAGGAATATAAATTTAAAAATAAATTCAAATCAAGGATTAATTGTTTAAATAAATATAACGGAACATTTTTCTTCTTTTTATGTCTTTAAAACTTTTAGTTTTTTTTATAAACGCAATTTTTATCAATTATCAATTATAAATGAAAAATCTTTTTAAATAGAGAACATTTTGTTTTTTATTTTTTTTATTTTAATTCATATATATATATATATTATATATATATATATATATATATATATATATATTTATATATTTAAAAATATTTCCAAAACAATATAACTATTATTTTTAATAATAAATATGATATATTTTAATTTATTTTGATCTTTTTATTATTTTTAAAATACTAAAAAAAATTGGCTAAACTTTTTATTTATTTAAATTTTTTTTCTTTTCCTATTTTCATATCTCCTTTTTTTATACACATTTATGAATATATATATATATATATATATATATATATATATATATATATATATATATATATATATATGTCATATGTGTTGAAAATGTAAATATTATAATATATAAAAAAAATAAAGAATATTTGACAATTATTTCATATATTTTATATTTTATTATTATTTTTATATTAATATATATATTTAATTAAATGATTTTATTTAATTGAACATAAACATTTACCGGTATTTTGATTCCCAAATATCCGTGTATGAATGTTTAAAAAAAAAGAAAATATATAACGATAACTTTTTTAAGGGTTTATTCATTCAATATTTTCCAACCACTGTAATCCAATATAAAATCATTTAATATTCAGATAATAAATCAAATCATAGTGTTTGATTAAAATAAAATATAATAAACAGAGCATTTATTAAATTATATCTATAAAATAACGTATAAACAGAATATATATATATATATATATATATATATATATATATATATATATATATATATATATATAAATCTAAAATATAATAAAAAAAAAAAAAAAATAATAAAAAAAAAACAAACCCCCATGCCTGAATAGTATTAATAAAAACCCTACAAATAAATCAGACAATAACAGGGAAAAAATTATGTAATTGTAGAAACCTAGAAGACTGCCCATTAGAAAATAAATGCTGCATTAAATCTGTGGTATACCAATGTACTATATCATCCACTGAGAGTCCTAGTACTAATATGATATACATTGGGTCCACGAAGAATGATTTTAAAAGTCCAGATGGAGGCAGCATAAGTGCTCTTTCAATAATATAAATAAAAGAAATCAGACTTCTCTATCTAAATATTTTTGGCATCTGAAGAAAATAAATAGGACACCTAAAGTAAAATGGAAAATTATAAACAAACTAGAACATGTAAAACTTGGGATGACCCATGCCCTTTTGTGCCTCCATGAAAAACTGCACATTATTAAGTTTCTAAATAATAATAATCTATTAAACAATAGACATGAGTTAACGGTTTTTTTTGTCGACATCATCAAATTTTTGGTTTGAATAATTAGCTAAAAACAAGCATACAATATAATAACTTTTAAAATCCATAGCCCAAATAAATAGTTTAAATACCCTACAAAAAACAAGATAACCCTTTATGAAGTCGTCAAAAAAAATGTTACGGCAGTTTTTTTTATATATGTCAAAAAACCCTTTCATAAAAAAAAAAAAAAAAAAATAAATAAATAAAAAATCCATAGACACGTAAACCAGACTAGGGTTAAACATCTTCCGTTTCAAATTTAGACACCCCCACCTTTCCCTGACTTGACATCTATGAAAGTAACTCTATACTGATACTTATTATTAACACCCAACACACGCCTACCCAATTTAAACAATTCGCCCTAGCTGTTACCATGGAAATTTTGATTTCAATTATTAAAAAAACACGTAAATTTCAGAAATACGTTATTCCAAAAAAAAAAAATTTCGCTTGAAGATGGAACAGAGCTTACTTTAACTCAATTTAATTCAAATAATTATATTGAAGTTTTCGGCTCTTGTTTTGAAACATGAGACCTCTTATGTCGCGAGTTGGAATCATATTTTTAAATAAATAATTATATATATATATATATATATATATATATATATATTTTTATAAATAATATAAAATATAATATATACTTTTGGATAATTTATATATAACCAGTTTAATTCCTTTTTATATATATATTTTTATATATATAAATATATATATATATATATATATATATATATATATTTGTTATATATATATATATATATATATATATATATATATTTATATATATATATATTGTATATATATAATATAAATTTATCATAATCATTAAACTTTTTTCTTTTGGAAATAGACTAATGTATAAATTTATATTTTATTATTAAAATCTTTTACATTTATTTCTTTATAGAAATCAGAACCCTGAATGAAATATATCCTTTACTATTTTAAAAATAAATAGTTGCATATATAATATATATATATATATATTTATATATATATATATATATATATATATATATATATATATATATATATACATATAATTGTATTTGATTGTTTAAAACTTTAAACAATACTTTAAAAAATAAATTTATGAAATTTATTTTTTAAATTTAAATTTATATTTTTAATTTTAATTAAATTATTTAACATGTTTAAAATATAAATTAATGAAACATCCTATTTTTTAAATTTATATATTTATATATATATATATATATATATATATATATATATATATATATATATATATATATATATATATATATATATATATATAATATATTTATAATTTATTTTTTTTTCAAACGTTTAAAAAAAACGAAATAACATTATAATCCTAATCATAAATTTTTTATTTAAAAATAATGTTTTATCTTTTTAACTTTTTTTTCAAACTTAAATTTATATTTCATATTTATTATATATTTATATATATATATATATATAAATATATAATTTTCATGAATTTATCAAAAATGAATTTTTTATTTTATTTTAAAATAATCATATATATTTTTTTATTTTTTAAATTTAAATTATAGGAATAATTATTTTTAAAATATTAATATTATCTTGATATATCGTTTTTAATGGTAAATATTTTTAAATCGG